TTTTTTATGTTTCTGTAACAACAATCAGGTTTGTTTTTTAAAAAAAAAAGACAGTTTGCAGACTATCAGCCAGTACTGTGACTTGGAGATAATTCTTAATGCTACTTCTGTTTGGTATAAAGTCATGATGCATTGTCACCTTGAACATACCGTCCTCTCCTAAAGGGCTTTAATCTTATTCTCCCTCTTGAACAGAGGCATTCTCAAATTATTCTGTAGTCAAATCATGAAGCTGTTTCTAAATAAAGCAACATATTTGATAACTGAAAATGTCAATTTAATTTGAAAGGCCAAGATAAATATTTTGTACTCTAATAGATTTTTATTTTTGTATTGAGAGCAGGAACTTCAGCTTGAAGATAAAAGTCTGTTGAGGAAGCCTAAACCAAAGCCAGTACTCCAAATCCATTTTTTTCTTTGCTGATAATTTTTTTCTCCTTTTATTCCTCTAAACACAGAGGGATATTTGTCATTGTGGTGATAAAACTGTGAGCAGCATAGAGTTCAGTCATGCCAGGGAGAGAATATGATACTTTACATGAACATGTCAAGATAATTTCAATTAAAAAAAAAAATGCACAGACTGACTTTTTAAGTCTTTCACACAGATCTTATCTATTCATAACACAAATCAAAGCAATTCTGATTGCTCTATCAAGTGTAATGTATAATTCAGGCAATTCAGTCCTAAGGTTTGAGGTTATTGCAGTTCTTTTGATTTGAGTTGCTGATTGTCTTAGTGAAAAAGGTGGTTGGGATTTTTTGAGAGAGGTTTTCATCTTAAAGCAAAAAACAATCTGTCAAAAGGAAAACTTTATAGGGAGGACAAAGTCTGCAGAATAATCAATAGCCCACGAACTACAGCACTCACAAGAACATGGTGGTGCAAATCCCCACTCACAGGGCAATTGCCTGAACCACTGGGCTGCTGCCTAGCTGAGACAGAGTCAAGCACTCTGTGCTCTTGTCTTCACTTAAATTGTATTGTAATAAATTCCCTAACTACTGGGCTGTATATTCAGTCCTTCTGTCTTCCTGGCTATTTTTGACTTGGCCCTGATATAGTAGTGAGAAAGGTTTGAAATGCTAAAGAAGCACTCTTTTATGATGCACGTCTTAGTTCTGAGATCTTTGTGAACTCACCTGCCCTGGAGTTTGACCTCTGCAGTGTTTCTGAATGTGCATATACCAGAGACCAGAGCATACATGGAACTTCAGCATTTGTCTAACACCCGTGAGACTGAAGGAGACATGAATATGCTTGCACTTCCCTGTACTCATAACCACCGTCATGAACTAGGGTGTGAGCAGCTCACAGATTTTAATATTGTTAATTACGTGGTTGCACACACTTTGACGGAGACTGTGCCCAGATATACATATACAGACCACACTAAAGCTAAACGTTAGCAGGATACAGTTAGGCTGAAAGGTGTTAGCGGCTGCCAACAGGGATGTCCTGGCTCCAAAGAAAATAACAATCCTTGTTAAAATATAATGGTTGTGCCAAGCAATCAGCCAGGCTCAATGAACAAAGCAATCAAGCCCCTTTATGAGGTAAAAGCAGCTGGTGGCTGAGGAAATACCAGTGGCACTTGGATGTAGCTTTATGACACAGGAGCCTTGGCAGCAAGGAGCCGAAGGAGTCCATTCTTCCCTGTGCTCCCTCCTGCCTCTAGCCCATAGATTTCTGTCCCTAAGCCCCAGCTGCTTACAGAACTCTGATGTGAGTACAACTGGACTTAAATGGGGTAGAAAAAGGGGAGTCAGTGATGGCTGGAGTGGCTGGAGAAGTTGTAGGAGAGGGTCTTCCAAAGCTGTGTTACCAACACCCCATCAACTGAAATAACATAGAAACTGCAACTTTTTTTGTTCCGTTGATTTTTCTTTTTACCTTTTTGATGGTTTAATACGTTGGGGTACCTTAGGGTGTTTTTTTTTCATTATGAATAAAAAGGAATAAAACAATAGTTTCTGCATCATCTTTAAAATAAGAATTTAGTGACTCATAACACATACTGAATGTAAGACCAAGAAACAGGAACCCATAAATTCCTATCCCAGCCATGCCGCTTTATCATATGCACTTCACTCAGGGTGAAATTTATATAATTTACCTTTGGCTGTCTAAGAGTTAAGTGTCCAGGATAAGTTACTCCTATAAACATCTTATACTCCTATAAACAGCCACCTACAGAAAGAACTCCTTAATATGCTAAAAAGGGTTCAAAAAGTGGGTGCTGAGCCTGGCCCCAGCCTTAAAGAAAGCCTAGGTGTTTGGTGGCTGTTTTAGAGTACTGAAGTTGGGTGTGATGAATTCTGCCCTTTTAACATCAAAATCCTGTCCCACTGAAATTTAAAACAAGATTCCTGTGTATTTCGGTAGGATGAGGATGTGTCTTTTATGTCTCTGAGAGAATGTCTTTCTCATATTTTAAGAGGAAGGCATGCTAAAATCCCTGAAAGTCCAGGTCTAGCTGAATACCATTTGGAAACGTAATTAATATTTGTAAAATGCTTCCTAGGTGGAAGACATGAAAGCTTCTCTGTTTATTAATAACAAACTTCTAAAAAGTGAGCACTGAATGCTTAGTCCTAATCCTAGACACTACTGCTGTATTACAGAGACGAGAAATCCAACGTAACTAATCACCAACCTGACAAACAGTGCAGCTCAAATCATAGAAATTACAGAATTCCAGCAGGGAGCTGTCTTTTTAAAAAAATTAATGTTAAATAAAGGCTTCATTCCAAAAATTTATATTAACATGCCCACCAGCTGCATTAAACTCACAACAGAGAGAAAATTTAGTGTCTAAAAATCTCTCCTTAACTCATCCCATTGTGCCCCATAGATGAAAAACCTATTTGCATCTAAGAAAACATGGCATGCCAATAGAAATCTCATCTCCATTGGCAAGTTGTGTAATTCTTTAAAGCTGTATACTAGATCCAGATGCTTTGGCAAGGAATATCTTCCTTCAAAAGTACTGCTTGAGGAAGCCTGTACTGATTGCCTTTGCAGTTATAGATCAGACCATAGCAATCACTAAAGACAAAGAAACATTTTTATTCTTCATTATACAGGTTTATTCTTGCCTTTAAAAGCAAACCAAAAAAGCCATCTTTTTTACTGTCTGTGTATTTTTAGCAGTGCAACATGAAAAAAAAATAATTAAATGAGCTATTAAGGAAGCTAACCCATATGTCCTGTGGATGTTTCCAGTTTTCACATGAGACATTCAACTATTAAAATATTACAAGGATAGCCCAGCCAAAATTCCAATAAATAACTGCAGATCAAGACACTGATTTTCACTAGACACTTCTCTCAGATCTTGCTAATGACTCTGGCTATCTAAGGTAATCAGCAGCACAGCTGCCACTTTGGAGCAGAGCAAGAAACCTGCAAGGGTGGCTGTTGCTCCATCACATACACAGTTACCTTTGTACTCAGAGCCTGTGACTAGAGACAAGTCAGACTAATATGTCTTAATTCAGTTTAGTTAGATGGGGTTAGCTTGTAGGTGGGCTTATATTTAACAAATCAATTTAGAATGAACTTGTGGCTTTACAGGAACATCTTAAACTGGCATAAGTAGATTTGTACCAAAAGAAGGCCTACGCTGTGCTTCTTCTGGCACACCCAAATCCAACTCAACACATCAGTGTAAAGTCACATTTGGAGATACTTGTAATAATCTCTTAAATTTTAGGTGGCATTTATGATACTTAATAGTCATTTAACCTGAAGTTTCAGATTTCAGTGTACAGGTAGAACAGGGTTTGCCATGAAGGAGATGTTTGGGGAACTGGTATTTATCACAACAGAAATGCTCAAGGGAACCACATGATCACCTGTGGACGTTTCTTATCTATTGCCTCCTCATTCTATTCTACTTGCTAATGTATATTCAAAAACTTTCATGCATTCGTTGATGTCAGAGTTTAGTGGACACAGTTACTTTAACTTTGCCTGCTGCTTTTCTTTTTTGGTAGTATAATTAGCATAATATGCTTAAAAGCTATCAACTCAACACTTCTGAGTTATTTACCTTGAGTGTGCAGCTGCTGTCATGGTATAAACCCAGTCAGCCACGCAGCCTCTCTCTCAACCACACCCCCTCCCACCCACACCCCCCCCCGAGGGATGGGGAGGAGAATCAAAAAAATGTAACTCCCACGGGTTGAGATAAGACCACCCCAATAACTAAGGTATAACACAAAACCACTGCTGCTATCACCAATGATAATAATGATAAGGGAAATAACAAGGGAAGAGAATACGATACCACCTGCCACCCGAGCAATGAACTAGCCATTCCAGGTAACTCTCAGTTACATCCTGGGCATGACATGCTCTGGTATGGAATACCCCTTTGGCTAGTTTAGGTCAGGTGTCCTGTCTCTGCTTCCTCCCAGCTTCCCCTCCTCCCTGGCAGAGCACGGGACTCACAAAGTCCTTCATCAGACTAAACATTTGAGTAGTAACTAAAACCATTGGTGTTATCAGTGCTGTTCCAAGGCCAAAAGTCAAAAACACAGCGCTGCACCAACTACTAAGAAGGAGAAAAAATGACTGTTACTGCTGAACCCAGGACAGCATCCACCCCTTATTCCATACCATTCACGTCATGCTCAGATTCCACATTTTCAATAAACCATCACTCTTATCTCATATATATACATATATATACATCCACACATACAGAGAGAGATCATTCCTTAATGCGTGGACCAATCCCTATAAACCTGCTGAGTCCATTTGGTCCATGATGTCAGGCTCCATCTCTTGTAACAGTCTTTCAGGGCAGAAGAGGCTGTGTGCAGTGTTCACACTCGTGCATAACCTGGGCAATAGTGTCCATTGCTAAGTCCACCCCTCGATCATGAGTCCATCTCTATGTTGCATCTCTGCCTTGATGGCCTGAAGTGTCATGGGCCCACCAGGCTCAAAATAATTCACTGTCCCCTTCAGCAGTTTCTGAAGCTTGTGCCTTCCATCTCTGACGCTTCCAAAGCACTGGAGGGGCCCAGTGGACTAGATACTTGCCCATACTGTCCCACACACCCTGCCACTCATGACTGTCCAGCCTTGGGAAAAATCTCTTGGTCCTCCCATATCGTCGTCTAACCCCAGACAAGACCCAAACCTGCCTCTGCTTAACTCTTGAAATCAGATTAAATGGTTGTGGGCAAAACACACTCTGCATGCATGCCAACATGCTGATCCCCATCACAATCAGCAGGCAGGACCCAAGGGTACCCAAAGGCCATTCAAAATCTTCAGAACTCTCAAATGATGCTGCTGCACTTGTCACTGGGACTGGTGTAGCTGCTGTGCTTGCTGGTTCTCCCAATATCAGCTTCTCTTTTTCTGAGTCCAGATCTTCCTCCTCTGCCTTGCTGGGAAATACTGTGTGGTCTCCTGCATCCTCCACTTGTCCCAGGTGCCCGAGGCTGGACCCAGCTGAGGCTCCCAAAGGTGATACTTTGCTCTCCACATCCTCCTGGGTCTCGGGCTCACAGTGCTCAGGGGGTGGCTGCTGGGGGATGTTCTCAGCCGCCGCCAGGCTGGGCCCCGCCACAGGGCTCGGCTCCTCCGCTGCCTCCTCCCACTGCTCAGCAGCTGCCTCCTTCCCGGCTTCCGGCCCTGCTCCCGCCACCACTTGGTCCCCAGGGCCGCTTTCCCGAGCTGCTTTGGCCACTGCCGGCTGCCGGAGCTGCTCCCCCTTGGCTCCCTGCAGCCTCACGCAGACGGAGGGGAGGACGAGGGCCAGGACGGTGAAGAGCAGTGGGATGGCCAGGTACAAGTCCACGGCCGTGTCCGTCCCATCCTGCTGCCGGAGCCTGCCTGTATTACAAGTCATTACCATAAAGTACAATGAAACAAGAACCTTAGCCCAAGCCCCACACTTGATAAACACTGACACGGCAAATACCGGCTGTAACTAAGGTACAATATGCCGAAACTCTGAGATCAAGAGAAACAACTTTGAGAGCCAATAAATCGGCATTGTGACGAGTGACTATTAATCCAAAGCAATGAATGATTATCACAAATACAATTAGAAACACTCCGCTCAGATCTGTCATTATCTCAACCCCTCAAGCCCCATACTGGGTGCCAAAAAGAACTGTCACGGTTTAAACCCAGTCAGCCACACAGTCTCTCTCTCACCCCACCCCCAACCCTCACACCCCGCTCCCGGAGGGATGGGGAGGAGAATCGAAAAAATGTAACTCCCACAGGTTGACATAAGAGCAGCCCAGTAACTAAGGTATAACACAAACCAGTACTGCTATCACCAATGATAATAATGATAAACGAAATAACAAGGGAAGAGTATACAATACCACCCGCTCACAGAGCCCGACTGAGCAATGAACTAGCCCTTCCAGGTAACTCTCAGTTACTTCCTGGGCATGATGTGCTCTGGTATGGAATACCTCTTTGGCTAGTTTGGGTCAGGTGCCCTGTCTCTGTTTCCTCCCAGCTTTCCCTCCTCCCTGGCAGAGCATGGGACTCACAAAGTCCTTTGTCAGACTAAATATTTGATCAGTAACTAAAAGCATCGGTGTTATCAGTGCTGTTCCAAGGCCAAAAGTCAAAAAAACAGCGCTGCACCAGCTACTAAGAAGAAGAAAAAATGACTGCTACTGCTGAACCCAGGTCACTGGCACAAGATATTTTTGCTCTAACTTGCAGGTTTTGCAAAAACAACAAAAAAAACCCCAACCCAGTGGAGAACAGTATTCCCAGCCTCACGAGAACGTATAGATTGAAAAAAATGGAAGGAAGAAAAGAAAAACAGGGGTATTATCTCTTTTACCTGGAGAAAAACTCCCAGACAAAATGTAAGTACCACAGCTTTGATACTTTGAGTTTTGTCTGCATAATATAAAATTTAAGGTCTTTCCCTTAGAGAAGATATGGGATATAGATGGGACATAGAAACAGAAGCAATAATGTAAAGAATTTTTTTTTCTGTGGGAATTCCATATTTTGAGTAAGCTTGAGTTCTGCTGGGTCTTTCAAAAAACAGGCTGCTACAGGGAAAATACTGAATTCTACAGGTAATCACAGGGTATGCTGGATGCAGTATGTTAGCTTGATTTTTCTTATTTAATCGTTATTTGCTGTGAAAATAGAGTTCAGCCAAGCAGATGGGAGAAAAGGTGTGTTTTGCTGCACTAATTTTACTTTTACAAGCACATAAATTAGCCATGTGACAGTTCCATTGGTTAATTTCATAGCCCTGAGAGAACCTCAGTCTGTTGGGGGGGGGGGGGTTCTTGCTAAAACTTCACAATCATAAATAAAATTGAGTTTTCATGCTTTGCTAGACAGTCAAGACGCAATGAAAGCCAGCTACTACTGTGTGTCTTGACCATGTTGCCTTCATTTTCCCTTGGGCACCTTTTAGCCAAGGTGAAATATTGTGTCCCTGTGGCTTCCTCTTAAAATATGATAGAGAGAAATGCTTTTCAGTTAATTCTTTTCTGTTACAAAGACGGTGGTGGTGCTTTACTCTATAAAAAAACACAACAGCACAGAATCACAAAGGAACAGGGCCAACACCATTTGACGTAAATGAAAAACTTTCTCTTCAGTAGGCTTTAATTGGACCAGTATTACCTTATTTCCTAGTTTTGTTTTGAAGTATCCTTTACACTTAAAGATGAGAACTAAAGCTTTCTCCCCCTCACGCTTCATGTTTATGATCCAGGCTTTTGTAATAGTAGCATTTTCCTGCAATGCCTGTAGAATACCGATGAAATATTTCTTCCCATAGTGACACATACAATCATTCTCAAGTGGGAGGAACACTATTTACAATATCCTACTAGATTCCCACTTTAGCTCACTAGATTCTTTCATCTGTGTCTTATGGGTTATTACCAAATGCTGTGAGAACACAAGGAACACCTACACCTCACTAGAAATACAAACTGAATAGTTTAAACCACATTCTTTCAATGACTGACTCACAAATTTTCCCTTGGAGAACACAGACTTTATTGCACCTACACTGTTGTGCCAAATTGTAGTTGACAAAGTGACATAGTAGATAAGTTCAGATGAAGGTGTTTACTGGTAGACAAGCCAATAAAAACTAATGGCTTAAATGTTTTGAACTCCTGGACCTTTTCCCAGCTTCATTTACTTTTTAAACACACAGCATGGCAGAGTTATGCAGCAGACAGCCCAGTTCTATATGGGACTCTGTAATGCATACTTGTGTGGTTTTAAGCATTTCTAATCCTGTAACTCTGATAGCAGTCAGGGTTTCTGGAAATAATCAGTGAATCCCAAGTCAGAACAAAAGTGCTAATGTGGTACCAAGATCCTGAGTAAATAAACAATTACTAAACAAAATCTTTTCAACAGCATTGTATGTCTGTGTCAACATTGTGTTTCCTCCGAGAATCATCTGGTCAGCAGCACCCCAGCTACATAGAAGAGGTCATCCACTTCCTACAGCTCTAAGGCGAAGACTGAAGTTTTGTTACAGAAGACGCTACTCAGGGTTTCCTGTGAGCTGCAGGAGTTGCATTTTTTGGCGGGATTAGAGACAAAAATCAGAAGGCAAGAAAATCCTGATGGGCATATTTGAGGGGAAAAAAAAAAAAGCAGAAACAAATGCTGTTTGTGCCAGTCTCAGTGGCCATTATCTAGTCAGAGACATGGGAACATATTTGTTATCACCCAACCATACAGATACAGAATTTTAATCCATGGAAGGATGCCTCAGATAGTTTGTATACTGCAGATTAATAGGAAACAACTAACAGAGGGGGGAAAAGAAGACATCCTCACAGGTATTCTTTTGTTTCAAATATCCAGCACAATCAGTAAAAATTACACAATTTGTCCATGTTCAGATCCAGAAACAGGAGGTGTCTACTTTTTAGCTCAGATGTAACAGAGTAGCCACTCCCCCAAGATTTTTTTGATCAAATGTGGGAAACCCCACAGAACTCCTTGATTTCATGTGATTGCTTCTAATTAAGCGATGTAAAAAGCTTGTGATATTCAAGTCACCTGATGGAAATTTTGCCAAGGCAGTTTGAAAGAACTTTCAAAAATTTTGCAATCTGCATGTTGGTCCTGATTAAGCATGAACCTAAACTCCAGGGTCTGCTTTTTAATGTCTCCTCTACTCATGTTGAGTTAAGCTTCTTATCTCTCGTTGTGGTGCTTTTCAGAGTCCAAGGAGAGATACTCAGCCTTTTTCTAACACAAATACCATTAATCTCTCCTCTGTCATCATAATGTAAGATTCTCAGATTAATCACTTCACAAATTTCAAACTAGTAACTTATTTTTCACCAATATAACGCGTAGGTGGATAACATTCCATCACAAGTGACTGTAATCACCTTCAGCCCCAATTCAGCATCCCAAGTTCTGGCTTGATTAAGTATTTGTCGCTTCTATTTCATCCTCTCCTGACAGAGATAACTTTGTTTTAATTCAAACTGTCACACTCTGGAGTTCAGGAAGGACATGAAAGTGTCAGGTAATAATCCCTCCTCAATCTTATGAGTAGTTAACACCACTAATATGCAGAACCATTAGTATGTTGGCATGATTTTAACTTAATCATTTGCAGCAGCCCAAGCTTTATTGAGATCCATTACAGCTGATCTGGATAAGCGTTGCCCATCTTTACATGCTTTACTCCGCTTTCAGTGCTTAACAAAAGACACATTTAATCTTGCAACTTTTCCTATATCTTTGTAACAGTCTTCATTTTAAATGAGTTTCACCAGTAATTTGAACACTTCATAAAAGCAAATACACATTTTTCTTCAATGGAACAATATTTTGGAAAGTAATCCAGCCCAAAACAGGGTCTCTATGTGGATATTGTCATATTGGGATGTTTGCGACTATCGTGCTAACACAGGGAATCATGCAAATAAAGAGAAAAACTGCATACATTAACACATTAAACAGATAATCAAAAGCTATTTTTTTATTAGAAAAGAAAAAAACCTGAAGGAACTGATCTCACATAAATATTTTCTGGTTTTATGTCCCTACCTTTACAGCTGTCTATCTTCAGTAGGGTAATATCTAGTACCTCATTCCTTGATTCTCTTTCCAAGTGGAAGAATTAAGAGGAATAACATTCACCCCAAGAATTAAAACTTGGGAGACGGGGAAGAAGCATTATCTTTTTAACAACTAAATACTTTACATGTTTATACAACAATGGAGATATATGTAAGGTCTCTGAGGCCTTTACCCTTTACAAGATGAAACTGAGTTTTTATCTACATCTTCTGTTAGATGATCCCAACCATTCTACTTTAGCAGGATGGGATTATTGGTGTAGTATACACATCCACCCACCTGCCTGTCTTCTCTGACTTGTTTTATCCTTTGACTGATTTGGTTTCTTTTTTGTTCTATAACATAAGCAAGTAGCAATATTCAACATTACCTCACCTTCTTGAATGTACCTGCTTGAAATGCATGCCACCTGCCATCTCTGTACCTTTAGTAATAATGACTAAACACAGTCAAAGGGCAGTTTTGTACCTGATGAGTCAATTTATCAGCAGGAGTAAATGACACACTCTTGTTCATGAATCTTTGTAAACAGTCAGAGCAAGCACTTCAGATATGAAGACATTTTCTGCACTGAGGATTGCAATTTGGTGTATGTTACCCAGTTGCTCTGTAATGTGGCTGCAAATACTGCATACTCCATATTTCATACTTTTATTCATGGAGCATCTCCTTGTATTTCCAAAACCCTTTAACGTAAAGTGGATCTCTCTTGTAAATTTTGATCTTCTCTCTTCAGTTTTCCTTATTATGTTAGTAGCCTGCCTATAACAGCAACACATTAAAAGCAAGTATTTTACTTTCAAGCTCACCATCCATAGGAAACTAATGGTTACTAACTCATAG